CCAGGGTGGCAGGGCCGGGGCAGCGCGCGCGCGCGCGCGGCCCGGGGAAGGTGCTGAGCCCACAGTTTCCCTTCCCCGCCCTCGGCGGCCGCGCCAGCTCACCCGGCGGCCGGGCAGGTGGGCGGGTGTGTCACGAGGGCGCGGCCGGCGCGGGGCGGGGGCGCCGCCCGTGTGCGGCCCGCGCGGGGCCTCGGGACGAGGCACGGGCCGCGGCCCCGGGGGTGCGCCTGCTCCGTCTGGGACCCTGGGCGTGACGGTGCGTCTGGGTGTGCTGGAGTCGCCGCAGTCTGCGCGGCCCTGTGGGATTCCCCGGGCTGGAGCGCGTGTGGGGTGTGAGAGGTCAGACTGAGTGGGCAAGTCCGACTCACACTGTGACTGTGACGTGTCAAAACAAACCTCCGCGTGTGGCGTGTTCTGGGTGGGACTGTGACGGGCCCAACTGTGTGTGTGTGCACACTGTGCCTGTTCGTGACCGTCCCCGTTGGTGGATCCGGGGCTCTGCCGCTGGGGTGTTTGTGTGTAATGCTGTTTGAATCAGCGTCTGCTGCACGGTGGATGTGGCTGTGACCCTGTGGGATGTATTTGTGAGTGTTTTGCTGTGTCCCTATTGAAGTCTCTGCTCACACTAGCCCCAGTGAAGCTCCAAGGCTGGGCTGTGTTTATGTGATGGGGTGACATTTTATTGGTATCCGTGTATATGTGGACTGTGACTGTTGCCAAGTGAGGCAGTCTATGTGTCATGGGTCCTGCAGGAGTTCCTGTGCGTCCACTGAGGCTCTGAGAGGTGCATGTGTTTGTGTAGTTGTGGGACACTGTCCGTATTTCAAGCTCTGTGTGAGCACGCATGTGTGCACATGAACTGCATCCTCTTGGGTTGCAGTCCACATCACTGGGTCCTTGCTTGTGTCTGCCTCTGGGCCAGGCCTCAAGTGGTGTCACTGCATACTTTCAGCAGCTCTATACGTGGTGAACTCCTCTGACCTCCCCCCCCAGCCCTCTGTGGCTCCTAGACCTGGAGGAAGAGGAATAACCACATTTCTACCCCTGGACTGAGCTGGGAAGGCC